ATTGCAATTTCGGTCGCCTGAAGGATATTTTATATTTTATTTTGCATTCCGCGGATCCTTCGGAGCCCAGGCTTGTTATAAGCAAAGCAAAAACAAATAAGGGGAAATTAATCTTGGTCATTGTAATTTCGGTGACCTGAGGAACGTTCAATTGAAATCTGGGTGAACTTGTAGATAAGGTCCTCTCCCTCCAATTCTGATGATTTTTAAATATGTTGTAAAATTCGTCATTTTAAGCAATTTTTTCCCTCTAAGTTATATGTCGGACTCGAGTAGTTTGCGAGAGATTCGCAAAATACTATGAGTACTACATATAGCATTGAATTTCGCCTGCACGTATATGTCCGCGGCTGAGTGTGCATCGCCAAGCCACCCTCGCTTCTCTAGTGTTTCTATCAACAGCACCACATGGCCCGACTACCATTCATATAACTGGTGAGTTTAAAACTAAATTTAACTAATTTCAATAATTTTGACACTGGACTTGTGCGGACATTGGAATATTAATATAGTCTAACCTAACCTAATCTGGACATGTAAGTAACGAAAAACATTATATACCACATCGATTAAAGCTAATGTTGGCGGTATTTTATTTTTCTGTTACTTAATTTAATATGATTAATATTAATAGCTCGCCGGCCACGGAAGTCAAATGTTATAATTTGATTTTTCAGCTCACCCGTTGTATGATTAAGAGCCGGACCACATGCTGTTGCTTACAGAAACGGTAGGCAAGAGAGCAGGTGCACACATGGTCACGGGCGTATACATATAGACAGAATTCGCTGTAGTAGTAACAATATTCTTTCGCGAATATCTCGCAAACCAATCGAGTCCGACATATAGCTTAGAGGAAAAAAGTTGCTTAAAATGACAAATTTTACAACATATTTCAAAATCATCAAAATCGCAGGGGGAGGGCCTCATCGACAAGCTCACCGAAATCTGTAGTAAATAAATACAATAGCAGTAGACATTAAAAAAAAATTGATTATGTTTATGCAGTGGTAAGAATTTTTTCACTGCAAAATATGTACTTCAACTTTAATTTCATACTTACATACTAAGGATAAAAGAAATAAGTTAATTTATGAAGAAGTAATAAAAGAAAAGAAAAATAAAAAGTTAGAAACGAATTGTAGATGTAAAAAAGACGATATTAAACAAACTAGAATCAGAATAAAAAAAGGCAAGTAGACTCAAATACATAAAATAAGATCAAAAACATTCGATGAATTGTCTCATTCGGTGAAATGTGCGTTCGGTGAAGTGGCATTTGGTGAATCGGTATACGGTGAAATGTCCATTCGATGAATTGTCTTCGGTAAATTGTCATTGGTATTCGGTAAACGGTCCGTAAACCAAAGTATAAAACATCCCTCAGGCTACCGAAGTTGCAAAGACCAAAGTTAATTCGACATTACATGTATATACCGGTACCTCTTAAGAGTACACACCGGAAGAGCTAACTTCGGTTATCCCAATTTCGGTGAGGTTATATTTAGGTCATGACCAGATACAATTTATATAATGTGATAAGCGTATTATCAATTTTCGATGAACTGTCAATTCGAAGAATTGTTTTCGGTCATTTGTTAGTGGCCATGGGTAAAAGATTATCACAGTGCATTCGCTCGAAGCTCAATCGAATCGGCAAATTCTCTGCTTTAAAATGATCTTAAAACCATGATGCTACGACTATCCTATGCCGAGATACAGCGAGTTAAAGATAAAATGGTAATTGTGCGGTTTTGAAGCATGTCGCTAAAAAGACCTGGTACATCAAAATGTTCATCAAAATGAAAAAGCAAGAGACGCAACTTAAAAAGAAAAATCTGCTTTCTAGGAGCAGTTAAAGTCAAAAGGACGACTTTTACTTCAAAATTAAATAACTCAACCAAAAAAAATCATACAATAACCAAAAAATACTGATTTTACATAGGAAGGTAGTCGCTTTCGACTGGTACAAATGCAACTTGCTAAAAAAATTTTGTTAGTGCCATGCAACATTACAAAGTTGAACAAAAATTTTAAAAATTTTCGAAGTGCTACTTATATCACTATAACTTTTATAAAATTCAACATAGCTAAAATCTTAAAAGAGGATCTGAAAATAGAGATTTCACAGCTTCAAATGATCTTTCCGCGATATCGATTCGACCATTTTTCTCAAAGTTATAACCATCTGAATTTCGTCCTATTTTTCGAGTTCATAGAGGTGATCCCTTAATTGTTTTGCGGAGTGTAGTGATAAATAAAATGTTAATAAAATAAGTAACTAAACTTTTAGCATTAGAGTACTATATAAATTTTTAACAAGGCATCAAATTCCTTAAACCTCTTTCTTTGAAAAAAATTCTAAACATTCCTCGTTTAAAACCCATCTCAATTTCCCATCTGATCTTCAATTCTTCCGCACATGCTCGATAAATTCTTCCTGTTCCCTATTCGTGCGCATAATCTTCTGAAAACGTCGCCGAAGCAACGAAACGTGTCGGAAATACCGGAAGAATCTCAGCGAACCAATAAACTTCCTTGAGCAACGACCCGTTCGCCTTCTAGAACGACATCGTCGCTAAACATGGTCTTAATTGTCGCGGACACGGTTCACATAACAACGTCGTCGTAAAAAAGTGTTCCGTTGCTTCTCTTGGAAAGCGAGCATCCATGCATGCCTTATCCGTGAAATTGTTGCGTGTGTGTATCCACGCGTAATAGCCCATGTTCCATTGTTCCAATAATTCTCTGCCGTTGCATCACATCTGGCTGGTGCATCTGCACTTACACTTATGCCGGATGCAGTCTGAAGCAACCGCATCGGCTATTAAACCTTTTGTTACGATGCACTTTGACTGTAAAAATCATTCACCTCATGTACAATTCATTAATTTAATTATTCGTCACTTAACACGGTAATTAGCATGGAGATCATCGGGGACTGGCACAGAAAGTTAACCATACTTGAATAAGTAAAAGATAATAATGTACGGGTACTCGAAAATTCGGGTCGGGATCTGGCTAGAAACTTTTTTCGTGTTTGAGTAGGACTCTAAAAATTTGTTCGAGTACTTGTAATTTCAGGGCCCTGAGCAACTCAGGATTCAAACTCTTTTCGGAACCTGAGCTCAACTTGAAACCCGAAACTCAAATATCTCCGATTATACACGATAACATATAAAAACACTTTCAGGACATTCGAGTCCTGAGATGATGGGTACCCAAACTGTATGTACCGGACAACCTTTCCGAATCCCGAGCCAAGCTGAGTCGAATCGAATCGGTCCTGAATCCGGTCATTACCTAACCTAAACTCGGGGTTCGAGTACCCGAATTTTCGGGTACCCGCATACCCCCTAGTAAAAGGAAAATATTACTTTAAATAGAATTATTATTATAGTAACAATATAAGGTAGTTAATTGAAAAGTTAAAATTTGAAACCTTAAAGTATTCCTTTTTTTATTATTAATTATTCGAATATATAAAATTTAAGACATCAATCACCAATGACTTCCATCGCGGCCAATTTGTTAATTTCAAGGAATTCAAGTCGATAAATTGAAGTAAAAAAGATCGAAACACAATGATATTCATCTTTATGGGACAGCTATTAAAAGTTTCATCAGTTCCGCCGTGTTAAATAGTTGACGAAACTTGCGATAAAAGACACTCGCTGTTCAGGCTCATATTTCAGCACATAAAAGTAAGTTGTCGTCCCTCAACGAGGCAAGTGTACATTTCACAGAGTGCACACAGTTGTATGCACCTCGTGGCATTCAAAATACCATTACCACTTGGTGTGAGCTTCCCCAACGAACTCCTGAGAAATCCACCTTTCGCTTGCCTTTACCTAGGACTTCTCTAACCCAGTTTCTAATTCGCAACATGCTTGTATTAAATAGTTGCATATCTAATGAATGGTTTCGAAATATGCACACTGTTACACTATTTAAGATTTTTTTGTCCTTATTATCCAATATTTTTGAACTTGATAGTGTACAATATACATATGGAGGTGTTTAAAGTGAAAATAGAAGCAAGAAACACATGTTTGTTTATTTTGACACTTAGATCGTTTATCACTTGAATGCTATAAACTTTAAATTGATTTATTTGTATACTATATTTTCTGTACACTGTTTAATATCCTCCTCAGAACCCTCCATATGAAAAATAAAAACAATTACATCAACATATTATAAAATATAAAGTTAAACATAAATGCAATCACAAAGAATTTTGTAATTAAATCCTAAAATGAAAATTATTAATTCTACTGTCATTATTAACTGTATAAGTTTTTGTTAAAATGTACTTTTTCTTCATCTAAAAATGGACAAAGTGTTATTAAATCCTATCTTTTCTTTATTAGTCAGGGAAACCAGAAGTTTCTTTCTATTGCAGAGAAGTTGACATTTACAGTCTTTGTCACTTCAATTCCTCTGTTTTAAAAGGAATTATCAATTCTCAATTTTGCTGTACATTTCTATTGGCATAATTTGGACCTTCTTGGGGGAGGGGGGGGGGGGGGGGGGGGGGGGCAGATCCTTTGGACATTTTGTAATTTTAGAATTTTATAGAATAGTAAAGATCCATATTTTCGAGGGGAGAAGCCAGACCCACCTTGACCCCTATCTAGTTATGCCAATGCACATTTTTTTTATCTTATTTATTTTATCTTATTTATTAATAAATTCTTTCCGTGATTTTTCATCTATAAAAATTGAAATTAACTTTCCAAGTGCCAAGTTAAAATCACAGAAAATTCCTTCGAGTGATAATGAATCTAATATATTGTTTTTGTAATATTTATCTTTTTCTGTTAAACAAGCTGTTAGCTGTTAATGAACAAAATTATTTGTAATTAGTTAAGTGAGATTGTTCTTACTATAAAATAGATGACATATTTTTATAAAAATTTTCTGGCACCCAAAATTAAAATGGAAGTGAATACAACACGTAAAGTGTTAAAATTATTGTTCTTTGCATTTATGTTTAGGTACGACTTCGTGGTAATAGGAGGAGGGAGTGCAGGAGCGACAGCAGCAGCAAGGTTATCAGAAGAACCAAGGTTTTCAGTGTTACTATTAGAAGCTGGCTTAGATGAACCTACTGGAACTCAAATACCCTCGTTTTTTTTTAATTTCATTGGAACTGACATTGACTGGCAGTATAATACTGAAAGTGAAGAAGGAGCGTGTTTGAATAAAGATGATAGAAAATGCTACTGGCCCAGGGGAAAGGTATATATTTTGTGTGTTTTGTTATTTATGGATACATTGACTGATTTCAATTTCACATTTAAATTAACAGTAATAAATGATTAAAAAAGAGGTAGAAAAAAATGTCATCAGACAAAACAAAACCAACATAAGACCGACCATCATAAATTCTGATTCAAATTTTAAGAAATTTTTTAAATTTATGTCTCTGAAAAAAGAATTGAAAATACTAGCAGTTAATTATCTACATCTACACACTCGTGTGTTCTATTATAATAAGCAATTACAATATTTTATAAAATATTCAGAATACATAAAATGTAAAAACCATGTGGAGCAAAGGAAATTAACCCTTGAACGGCGGACCATGGAGACTCCCAATTTTAATTTAATTTTTTATTTCACATTAATTTCCTTTGATAAATTTTACGTTGTCTTGAAAATTATTCTTCCAACATATAAAACTCTTCCATTTAAAAACTTATATGCTATTTACTTGTTATATGTAATAATGTAATAAAATTTTGTATATAAATATTATTCAGGTGCTGGGTGGAACGAGCGTTATGAATGGAATGATGTACATGAGAGGCTCACGAAAGGATTACGACGACTGGGCCAGGCTTGGTAATATAGGATGGTCTTATCAAGATGTCCTTCCATATTTCATCAGAAGCGAAGACAATCTTCAAGCAAACACTATGGATTATGGTTATCATGGTGTTGGTGGACCGCTTACAGTCACTCAGTTCCCTTATCATCCACCTTTAAGTTACGCTATCCTCGAAGCTGGAAAAGAACTCGGTATGTACATTTTATTTCCTTCTTCGTATATATATTACGTACATTTATTCAATTTTAATTACTTAATTAACTAAAAATTATTAAATGATTTGAAAAAGATTAAATACGGGAGCACTATAGGACCTAATTTTATTCATTTTACATTCAATGCGCAAGTGCTAGTAGACCCTAGACCTATATATGTACTTACATGGGACCTGTATTATACAGAGTGGTCCGAAATTCATGATACTAACGACGTCAGGATAATTCTATTGCTTAAAATCAAGAATATTGCTGAAGCAAGAATATCAAATTGCTCGAAAATCAAGAATAACAAAATTACGTGAAAGCCTCGTTTTCGAGAAAATTGCATTTGAAAATCAATTTAAGTATGCGTCTGACTGAACTCATAACCCATGTTACGGATTTCACTATAGAACGCTGTAGTGACTGTTTTTACACATTATACGTAATAAATAAAGATAATAGGGTAACCACTGTATTGTTCGTTGAGCTTAATTTACATTTTTTAAGCAAAATATTGTTGAAAATGTTAACCATTTTCTCGTATGCAAAGTTATACTCTTCGAACTAAATTTTGTTTTCAAATAGTCGTTTTAAATGTTCAAGACTTACAATGTCTTCAGAATAAACTACTGTTTTCGCGTTTTCTCAGAAATCAAAATAAAAAAACAATGAAAAATAATCCGTAACATCGGTTACACTGTCCAACAAATTTTAACTTTTTTTTCACGTTCCGATGCCCAGCAGAATAGAAAGCTACATACTATACACCGTTATCCATCTTTAATACATTATAAATGTTTAAGTATGTTTAAGCAATCATTGAATTTTTTAGGATATTTTTAAATTTATCTGAAAAAGTAGACGTCCAGCGTAAAATCGAATTATACCACGCGATAGAGCAGAGTTTTATCTTGAAACAACCTCGCAAAAAGTTAAAATAGCGACAGTGGTGCTCTGCGTGAGGAGGGTTGCTCGACGTCTTGCCTGTATATACTACCGCGATTCAGTTGCTTTAAGCGCGCAATTGTAGCTTACTTTAATGTGAAATTTATTATTATTATTATTATTATTATTATTATTTATTGCTGTACTACTGGTATATTTGTTATTTATCAATAACTTTGCAATATAAATAGGAAAGGCAGGATCACAAACTGCGACTGTGAGAACATTTTAATTTAGTTCGGTAAACACAAGATGTTCATGTTAAGAATAAATTATATATAAGTACCATTAAATGATTTTTTTTAATAAGCTGTAATTTTTTTACACAAAATATCAGACAAACATTTTAAAAATATATATAAAATAGTTCATAACTAACAGAGATACTAATAGTATAGCAACAAATAATACTAATAATAATAATAATAAATTTCTCATTGAAGTAAGCTGGCATAATTGCGCGCATAATTACCGCGCCGAGTAACTGTCCTGATGCAAAACACCAGTGCCAGTAGTCGGTATTTACGTACTTCGTTTACCCGAAGCTTTCTGCTACTTTGCTTATAAAAAAAAAATCAACGTTGCAACTTTCTCCGAGTGTTTTTTCAAGACGAAAGTCTGCTTTGTCGCGTGGTATAATTCGATTTTACACTGGACGTCTACCTTTTCAGATAAATAGAAAAGTATGCTAAAAAATTGAGGGCCAAATCGGGGTTCCTCCGCGTTCAATGATTGTTTAAACGTACTTAAAGATTTATAATGTATTAAAGATAGATATTGTTGTATTCAAGAAAGTCTACAAAATCTTATAGTGTAAACAAAATTTTAGTATCTGTTATGGTTACGTCAGAAAATTTGTTTAAATCTGAAAAATATGTTTCTTTTTCGAAATCAAATTTCTCAAAAACTGTACGTATAGGAGGAAACCGGTTTGCAGGTTTGCAACCGGTTTGATTCATAATCAGCGTACAAAACACTATAAAAATCGCCTAGTGGAAATCAGTATATCAATTCAATGTTGGACAGTGTTATTAATTAGGTACACGTGTACCTAAACTGATTTTGAAATGCGCCTTTCTCGAAAACGAAGCTTCCCATGTAATTGCGTTATTCTTGATTTTTGTCGTATTTAAAGCCATAAAATCAGCCTGACTCCATTTGTACTACGATTCTGGGACCACCCTGTATATGGGACCCTCTCGAGGGAATCGAGGGGGGCGGGCGTCCCCCAGGACATCGCAAGTTACCCTGGGGAAGCCTACCATACTTAATACTGTACCTAAGGAATTAAATACACTGTATTTATTATTTTTAAGTTTATTGAATTTCACTGCTTGTCAAAAAGTAATTCCTCCGAGAAATGTTTATGGAAACGGTAATGTATAAAAAGGGGTAACAACGCGACGATCTACTTAAGTGTCCTGAAACTTGTTATTACATAATCACGAAGAACTTGTTTCTTCTGTATTTCGTTGTTATTACATACTTGTGCGAGTCTAATGACCCGTTTCGACGACGTCCATCGAGCAATGTGTTACGCGATCGTTGCTTACGGCTACTATAATACTTACCTAATTGCGACATTATTTTCACCGGTAGCTTTCCGTCGTTGCTGAATTATTCGATAATTACTAGTTGTAATTTGATCCTGGATGAACAGGTACGATCTTGTTACGATTTGCTTTTCTAGCAAAATCTATGTACATATTCTGAATTCCAATACAGAAAAAAGAATTTGAATGATTGATAACAAAAGGTAAATTATTGTTGCTGTCATTGAAAACTGAAACTAACGAGGTCATTATCTCTTTACGTAACTCGAAATCAAACTTGTTTTCATTTAACCTTTTTAACGAAGCTTGAAATTTAAAATAAAATTTAAGAATAATATTGTTATGTTCCATTATGTAAAATATGAAATTTTATAATTACCCATCGAATTAGATGCATAAAACAAAATTATTTTTCTGTAGAACTATTTATTGAAATTCTTTTCTTTAAAATTAGCTAGGTATTTGCAGCTGAAATTATAATTACAATTACGTTTACGTAAAATGTTATTTAAATCATCGAGGAATTATATTCCAGGCTTTCCCATTAGTGTAACTAACAATAAATAGGGGCCAGGATGGGCCTGGGCACCCTAAAAATGTGGACCATTAGTATTCTTTTAAAAAGTTCCAAAATTCTAAAATTTAAAAATATCAAAATTTCGCAATTTCAAAATTCTAGATCGTAAAAATTAATATATTTCAAAATTCCAAATTTAAATTTTCTAAAGGATTTAACCTATCCCAGGAAAAGGTCCACGTTACGCCAATGGGCTCTCCTTATTAGAAATGTCCAAATAATAAGAGATAATTCTCCTAATTTGCTAAATAATTAAATTCTACGAACTTACATTAATAAGAATCGTTACATTGATTGTTTATAGGATATGGTGCCGCGGACCTCAATGGAAGGACTCACGCAGGATTCGCCATAGCCCAAACAACTTCGAGGAATGGTTCAAGACTTTCAACAGCTCGAGCATTTCTACGCCCTGCCAGGAATCGTCGAAATTTACATGTAATGCTGAATTCAACAGCCACCAGAATCCTTTTCGATAATAATAAAAGGGCAGTGGGTGTGGAATTCGTTCATGATGGAAAGGTTCATCGTGTTTCTGTGGCTAAGGAAGTGGTCGTGAGCGGAGGTAATTATTTTGATATCAATTTTTATTTGTTCAATGACCATATATTATACTTCATATCAACGACTCCAAAAAAAACCTCTTAGCCCTTGAACAGCGGAGCCTGGATCAATCGTGACCCAAACTTACGAAACGTATACAGGGTGTCCCGTAACTCCCGATACTTCCGGAAATGGGCGGTTGCTGGAGTGACCCCGAACAACTTTTTCTTTTACCGAAATGTTGGTTGAAGATTCATTTTTGGATTATTATCGAAAAATACTGTCCAATTAGGGCGCGCGTAAAGCGCGAGCTGAATCGCGAGAGTGTTGGTTATTAATTACATTCGAACGGTGATTATGAACAAGCACGGCGACAGCACATTGGCACAATCTGTGGCTTCGTTTTTGAGATATAAGCAATTAAAAATTGTAATATCAATTTCCGAAACGCGTGTTTCGCTTTCGAACAGCTGAGAAGCTAAACAAATTCTAGATCAGTGGCCGGACAAAGAGAAACGTGAAAAGACAAGAATGCACATCTGTCTAGTAATTTAAACCTATAAATGGCTCGTCGTCCTCAAAACTTGGCAGATGTGCATCCTTGTCTTTTCGCGTGTCTCTGGTCGGACGCTGATCCCGGACACTAGAGAATGGGCTACCTGCTCAGCTGTCAGCTGTTCGAAAGCGAAATACGCGCTTCGGAAGTTGATATTCCAGTGTTCGACCTTATAAAAAATACAGTTTTATAGAAGAAAATTCTTTTCACAGTTTTTCCCAAAAGCGCTCTGTACATCGATGAGTACATTTATCCTGAGTATGAATATTATACATTTCTCTCATAACTGTATCCGAGAAACGTGAATTACTTTTCCGTGTTTCACTTTTACTTAGCTAGAGGTGCTCCTGTTACTCTTGTTGATCCTTGATGTATTGATTTTCATACTGATATGGCTTAAGTAGTATTCTGCAGTACTTTTATGTTATAAAATTATTTCAATTTTTCGTTGTTTCGAAATCTACCTTTTGATTTGCAACAGATAAAGGAAAACAGTTATTTACATTACAGTGAGTAACAACTGCCTTTATTTCTTAATACAAAAAATGGTAACCATCAATCAACTGTCGCTTAGTAATCGAAAAAGGAAATTCAAAAGAAACACTATTTCAATAAAGAAAAAAGATTATTACTTAACATGTTACCAACTCTGAGATCCTAATTAGTTTCATCCATATCCTCAATCTCTATAATCATAATATGGGTATCCAATTCACTGTCTGACTTTTATACAAACTGACTAAAACCACAAAATCATCCTGCTAAGAAATTAACGTTTGACAACAAATTCTGTTTTATGAATTTTACAACATTCAAAAAGTATGTTGAATATATTTAAAAGTTCGATAATATACATCAAAATTATCAATATTACGATCACAGTTTTTCAATATTTTCAAATTATGTAATAGTGTAATTAGAAATTTTTCCTTTCAGTAATAAATAAATATTCACCTGGAAGTAATGATTCATTCAAATAATTGTACATCAATTCTTGCGCGAATAATTGGAATTGCGTGTCCTTCGGAGGACAGGAAGTAAAAGATTGTAGTAGTAGAGGAAATGTTTATTGTGACGATGATAACTCCATAAAAGGACATTATAAATAATTATAATAGAAGGAATAGCAGCTGTCACAAATCAACATTAATCATATTTAGATTTTCCTTTCCAGGATAAATCTCCACAATTTCTTTTTTTTTTTCTTTTAAGCATTTGAAACCTCATTGGAGGATTATTTATACTAGACAAACATCCATAATATACAATTATGCAAACATGATGAAACGTAATACCTAAATTTAAGTTTGAATCTAGATTCCAATTGTTATTTTCAATTTTGAGTTTACAATTTTTTAAGAAGCTATAACAATTTCATTTTGATTTGCTATTAGTAACAAATTTATTTTGCTTAACAGTAAGTTCTTTGTATTTTGGTTAACGAACATAGTAATTAAGGAAGTTTTTTCAATGGGTTCAATATCGGTGATGTAAAATAAAATTCTTTAAACATCCATGAAGTGAAATTCTTGAATTTTAAAAAGAAAATAATTTTTTTCCATTAATTTTTGTTAAAATAAAAATTATAGTTTATAACTATTAATTTTGAACTCAAATCAAAATAATTATTTATACAATAAAAAATAACAAAAATAATAAAAAGGAATGAATTACCCAAATAAAAGATTTTAAATGATTTCCAAATTTTATTTATTTTTCATACAATTAATCACCCATAAAATATTGTAACTAAGACTGCAGGATTCGAATTCAAAATGAACATTTTTTTTTATTTATTAACTCTATTAACAAGAAAACGTACAAAAATACAAAATACAGTGTTACAAAATTATACATACTTACGTACTTACTTATAAAACGTAGACCTAATATTATATTAATGCTCTGTAGTTCGCAATCTTCTAGGTACATAATGATAAAATTAGAGTTTTTAGTACCTGGTCAAATTTCACCCTAGATCTGTTTTGAATGAATTTTTCAAATTTTTTAATACTTTTTTTTATTGTTTAATTTAGCCTAAATATGTTCAATCGGTTTCAAATTTAATAACTGTAAATAGACCAACAGAAAAAACTAAATACAGGGTATTTCCTGCACCTGGCCCAACTTGTTTTTAAAATGATAGAAGATAAAAAACAATTTCAGTAGGAAAAATTAAATGGGGTCGAATGGAGCATCACCTGATGCGTGTGTCGCTTCCTGAAGTGAAGTTGTTCCAAAAATTCCAAGATCATCCTGAATTTTTTAAATGGAACTAAATACATACTTTTCTATACGTTAATCGAAAGGTGCTCGGCATTAATGAGGCGCTCGGGTCAAGAATTTGTTATTTTAAAAGATATCTTAGGCAAAGACCGTTAGGCTCCCCCGTCTCTCTTGAACTAATCAATTTGTGACCAAAGTGCCTGAAACCTTTTTTGTAGACGATTAAAAACTGCTTCACTTGACGTATAATAAAGTATAACATTACATATTAACATTTTAATTTTTACGAAATTTTATTGGAATTTTATACTTTGTTATATATCAATTGAAGCGTTTTCTAATCCTCTTCAATGAGTATTAAGACACTTTGGTAAAAAATTGGTTAATTAAAGAGATATCTTAGAGAGAGACAGGGAGAGTTTAGTGGTTTCTCCCCAAGATAACTTTTGAAGTAATCAATTTTTGGCTCAAATACGTTAATACTTTTTAATATTACGTAGTTAATGCATCAAATGGCATTTAAAAATGTACAATTCTATTCAAAAACATGAGGATGACCTTGAAATCTTTGACATACCTCCACTTCCGAATCCGACACGCACATCGAATGATGCTCCATTAATTAATTAAGAGATTTAAGAGAAATAACAAGAGCCAACGGTATGAAACACCCTGTATAATAAAAACATTATACAACATTTCCTAAAGTAAAATTACTAATTGGCTAAATTTTTTACAATACTATAGTGGCACTTTAAATACTAAAAAAGCACATCACGTATCATTTTATTTTAAGAAAAGTAGCTGATCCTATTCTTTTATCGACCTAAAGATTTCACAATAAGAATATTCTCTGTTTCTCCATTCAGATGGCAGCTTCATTTATATAATTGTAATGTATCTTTATTGTTCCATCAGGCGCCGTAAATTCGCCGCAGATACTTCTGAATAGCGGTATAGGTCCGCGAGAAGAATTGAATGCCGTCGGTGTTCCGGTTATACATGATCTGCCTGGTGTCGGTAAAAATCTTCACAATCACGTCGCCTACACGTTGGCCTTCACAATTAACGATACTGACACGACTCCCCTCAATTGGGCCACCGCTATGGAGTACCTTCTCTTCCGAGATGGTCTGATGTCTGGCACAGGTAAGGAAATAACAAATCATAGTAGAACTATTAAAAAAGCTATTCTTTGTGCAAAAGTAAAACTGAACATGAATAATGATTGTTTTTTGACCTTGTATATTATTCTTAGAGTGTACTATATATTTTGTTCCTTTTGATTAATTATTGTAGGTGTTAAACAGTGATTACTTTAAATATTAATTATTATTGCTTTATAATTTAAAACTAATTGAAAATATAAGATTGAAGTGTTGTTCAACGACTTGAATAACATTTTCAAGGCCCCAGGGTTATCAACCCATTGAGAGCCCACTTGGTCAGGACTGGTTCTAGGAGCTCCCCCCCCCATCAAACTATTACTATGATGTCTTAATAAATTCTGAACAGTGGTATTGGCTAATAAATATTCATAAGTTAATGAAAAATAAACTATCTATTTTGTAAAAAGGGAGAGAGAGAGATGGTTAAAAGAAAGAAAGAAAATGATTGTGATATAGTATTCCCTTGAATATTTTAGAAAATGTACTTAAGTTTATTATATTATCAACAAAAATAATTTATTGAAGGAAAGTATTTATCCCTAAGAAACAGTTCAAAAACCTTTTAGATTTATTTTACTAATTTTTTATGATTTATTATGCTTGAATTTCGTGTAATTTGGACTAATTTCACCATCCCCAAAATTTTGCTGTCCCATGCAAATGCACGTGTTGGACCGTCGGTTTAACCAGTTCTACCCTTGGTTGATAAACATTGGCTCAAAAATTGAAATTTATTTTATATAAAATTAGATATCATTTAATTGTGAAAAAAAGGGTAACAGTAAACAAAGTTTCATTAAATATTTTTCGACATAGTAAATGAAAGGCTTATAACAAAGTCCCTTGGGATCTAAGGCAGTACCGTCGCTTACAGTACCGTGTTATAAAGTGTACATGATTACAAGCAGCACCGAATTAAGGTGAAGGTTTAGGGAGTTTCATTCATTATAAGTTTTATTATTATGTTAGTATAAGTTTCATTTATTATGTCAAATAGTATTAAATGAAATTTTTGTATGGTTGCTTTATTTCTTTAGAATCAAATGTTATTTAATTTTATTTAGAATAAATTTTAATTTTTGAGCCAAGTCTATCAACTAAAGGACCCCTCAATGGTTGGATAGCCCTGAGCCCCAAAAATTTTAATTTTGTCCTGATCACAAGTTGCCAAAATATTCATTTATGTAAATATTATATACACAAAGAATTATGAAAAAAGAACACCCCCGCGATGAAAGTTGAACGAACTGTGTTACTATATAGAATTTTACAGGAAAAAGTTTATTGAGAATTAATTTACAATTGTACCAAGTTTCGCACAAAATTGTCACAGCATGTCCTTCACCCTTCACTGGTTCTTATTAGAAATAGTTTATTTTACTTACTAATTGATCATTGCGTAGTCAATCGACACTCGCGTTTACATTCGTTCGCATTTCAATATTCAGAGTTGCAATTGGTAAGCAATTACACATGGTGTTAGAAGAGTATGAAGTTAAATTATCACCTTGCCATTGACGTAACTATACTCCGTTCAACGAGACGAGTCACCAAGTCAAAACACACAACTCACGTGATCGGCTCTACGACTGCGGTCATTGGCTGCCACATGTTACAACTCAGGGCCAAATTATGATGGTCCCTTGCCGAGGGCTCTTGCATGCAAGGTCAGGCTTATCTTTCGATGTGATGTGGGGATTCGGAACCCGTAAGTCGGCCCTGTCCTGTTCACGTGCTTGGTGACTCGTCTCGTTGAACGGAGTATAGATGGGGGCGTGAGGGGGCTCGGCCGCCCTGAAAGTCTGGACTGCTCTCAAAAAATGTGAACCTTCACCATTCAAAAATCTTAAGATTCTAAAATTTCAGAATTATTTCCATAGATAATGTATAATACATAGATAATTATTTCCAGGTCTTATCGTTAGTTTTAAACTACAAAGCGATAATAATAATTAATATTTAAAGTTATCACTGCCTAACACCTATAGTGTTTAAAAAAATGAAAAGCATATGATACTCACTAAGAACAATATACAAGGTGATCCTATACAATTGTCGGGCTTTTCATGTCCTATAATAATTTTCAAGTAAAATACTGTTTACACTGTACATTCACATTGTAACGTAAAAAGTTTTATTACCTATTGAATCATCACTGTAGAATGTTAAATATCCAAAAGAAAAATAACCTTTAGTTTCTCCTAAAGGAAAATAAATCGTTTTAATAGATTAAACACCTTAACCCGACATTTTGCTATTTGAATTTTGTTTCTTAATTGTCTAAATAAAAATTATCCTGCGCGTTGGTGTTAATTATCACAATAATCAAACATAGTAGTATATAGGTAAATAAACTAAAGCAAAATATAAAATAATGCACACATATGACACAGATTATCTCATAGAAGGTCAGAAACATTCACTGCGGCTTACACTTGCGATCAAAGGCTGTTCTAGGGCAAATAGCGATATAGACGAAATAGGAATTCTCAAAATCTTAATTTTGACAATATTATTATTAAAAATAATTTAGAAGAAAAATAATGTAAGTTTTGTTACGAGCCAAAGGGGGCTGCTGCGTAGCCTGGGCTTAATTTTGGTTATGGTATTGTTAATGGCTTAACCGGTGCTGTTATTAACACTGGGAGCCTAAGGAAGTAGACGCGAAGACGAACCTACGTATGGCTAACGTAGGGAGCCACAGGGGCATTTTTTCTGAGAAAGCCTAATTTGATCGCAAATATATATTGTATAAACACATACATGTATACATGTCTCACCAGGATCGAAAAGGATAACAAAACGATACAGACTTACGCGTCAACCCAATTCTTCCCTGATATTAGTGTAGCAAATAATCGCAACTAATTTCCCATTCGTAAGCAACTTCATTTTTTGTTTTTGATTTAAAAATTATGGATCCCGGAAATCCCGTTAGTAATTTAATTACATTGTACAAACTTTAATAATAAAGCCAAATCGGACAGCAACGAAGCCTATCTTCAGAGTTTGACAAAAGTTATTTGTCTACGAATATTTTAAACATTTTAAATTAGTGGTTTCTAACCTGAAGTCGTGAAAAGGGCAGGAGAAACGCGGTTATTTTTTGTTGACAATCTTATCACATAATCATTATTTTAATTTTAATGCAATTACAATGCTACATTTTATTAATATTCTAAAATATCTATATAAAAGGAAGTCAGGACTCAAAAAAGTTGAGAAACACTGCATTAAATTATATTTTAAATATGGATGGAGATACCTGGATGCAATAAACAAAGGAAACAAGGTATACATATATTATAGTTTATTACACAGTAAATATAGTCGGCATAAGGGATCATACGATGCATAAACATCTTTTGAAATTGTGATACTTCCGAAAAGAACAGAGCGTCTCATTGAAAGTAATTTTTTGTAGGCGTTTAGTGGAGGGGGAGAAAGAGGTTTTCGTCTCCCCGGACGCCTTTAATTCGGGCCGGAGACCGCTAGATGGCGGCGAGATGATCGGGTGACAGTGTTCTCGCAAGCGGTCGCCTGGCATGCAGTTTCAATATAGAAGTTCCGAATTGCGGTAATGATAGGTGTCTAGGACAGGGCGTAGTGTGGTCCGGGCACTGACTATTCCGGTGGCAAACGAGGCTTTGGCTGTGGACGTGAAGCGCCTGGTGGGTGTAGTTGCTAACCTACTGAGGGTTAGTTTGTTAAAGTAAAAGCGTCCTAGACCAAAATTCATTACACGCCGACAATGAGTCAAGTGTTGGGCCTTCCATACCCGCTCACCTACCCGGCGCCACTTGGTTAGGAGGTGCGCCTTTAAATACCGGCGGTATAAGTGCAAACTTGGGAACGGCAGAGCGGGTTTTAAACCCCACAAGGCTCCTTTATACAATGATCTGTTTGGGGCAGGGATCGTCTGTTGTCAGCCCCACTGACGAGTCTGACAGACGATCCTGAGACGAAACGCCTTTTTCTCCCCTTTCCTACATTTTCTTTGAAAGTAGGGCCGCCTCTAACACCGGGCAAATGGAGCACTTGTCCTGACCTCTACGCTATATGTAAATACTTCCAAAATTGCTACCAACACACGATGCTAAATTTATCGTTAAATTTTACAATAAATATATCAAGTACAAAATATCTGTTATTTATTTTTAGTTTAATATTTTCAATAATCTGAGTGGGTCCGTCCCGAACCCACAATCTTTAAGGGCAACTCTGTTTGGAAGAAATTAACAGGAAAATTCATGTAATCTGAGAGTATCAATTAAAATTTACTTCTGCGTTTTTTGTAATGTAAATTCAGTCTCAAATGACTCCTTTTCTTTTTATAATACTCTGTGCGGCAACTCAAAAGAAACAGATTTATCATTCTTATACGATGTTCAATAAAAAGTCACGTTACACACAAAGGTACATTGATAACGCAATCAACAAAACATTCCTGTTAAAAAGGAATCCACTGAATGCAACGGGCATCGAAAAATAGAGAAAGTAGAGGACAAAAAGAACGAATTCGTCCACTTGTGCAAGTTGCATTCGAAATGATCAATACAGATGCATCCTCAATGCAGTGGATCGGTGAAAGCGAATTGCACAATGATCTCGTTCGCGTTTCTCGATTGCCGGTGATGCAATCTTGTTTCCGATCGGTCTGTTTACCCTCGTTTGATCGATTTATGGCAGTTACTGCGGAAGAGAGATGAAGAAGAAAGAAAAAGCATTTCATTCTAGGTCTGTTGATGGACTAGTCGGTAAAACTACCTCTGAAACCCATGCATTTTTTTATTATTTGTTTGTTCCTAAAATCAGTACATACCCGGTCTATGCAAATTCTAATGTGACTAGTTAACTTATAAATAAAAAAAATGTCTACTTCTTGTTTTTCTTTTTTTTTATACAAGATAAACCATTGTAGTTGATGCGGCGTTACAAATGGATAAAATAACTCCTTAAGCATTTGTAGAGAATTGTATAGTGACTGTACTTAATACTTCTCAAAACACTTTTATTGGGATCTTATTTTGATGATACAATTGGTTGAAGATTTTTGAATGATAAAAATGTCATCCAAACAAGTGTCCCGGAAGATATAACATAAATTAATTAAAGTTAAATTGGAAGAATATTAAAATTTAATATTAATCAATTTATTATAAAATTCTGAAGTTTGAGATCAAATTTTATTTAAAATTGCTTTTGATTCACATCTTCAAAATTTTATATTTTTTCAATATATAAAAGTTATATACATATAAAGGTGTACAAGTGTTATGAGTGAGGGTCACAATTAACCCTGCTATCGCTGTTCAGAAATTAAATAATGATCAAAATAAAAGGGTTACCAATGAGATGTAAACCTTTCCAGATATTTTTAAATTTATTTAAAAAACTAAGAATCTAGGGAAGAAATCTAAAAATGCAATACTGCCACAAATTTAAAAAATACTCTAGAATTCTAGAAATTTTCTTCTTTCCATCCAACATCATTTACTGGTATGAAACAGGAAATCAATCATGCTTTTTAGGCGGGCAATACCAGTCACTTGATCAATCAATTATCTCGTGAGAGGAATGATGCAATTTGCCACAGAAATCAATCCAATTAGCGTTTAATTCGCAACTCTATTAGAACGTGGTTCCGGTATTTGTTACAAGCAACTATGTCAAAGATTCTTCTCAGATTTCATGCTAATCTTAAATTAACACGAATTGGAGGTCCTTTCTAGAACTCTAATTACGCTATGGCAATTTTCACATAATGAAGTAACTCTGAATTTCAGCTAGTTTGATTTCTATAGACCCTTGTAAAGTTTAACAGACTTGCAGGATTGTGACGATCGACGTGGAATGCTCTGAAACTCCAGCTAAAACTATTAGATGATTATACATCAAACAATGGATTTAGACTGATATAATTTGATAATGTAAAAATTCCGTGCAATGACTGCATAATTTGTTAATTAGTATCCTTGATATATTGTACAATGGCTAATTGCTAACAACTTTCAAACACCACTTTTGAAACATAAATTCTACCACAATTTGATCATTAATTTTTTTCTGACGTCGGCCAAGTCCCTTAGAAATTTTAGAATTTTTAAATTCTGAAATACTAAAATTTTGAAATTTTGAAAGTTTAAGATTCTTTTAAATCTGAAATTTTTAAATGATGAGCGGACTAATCTAAACGATGGAGCTCACTCTGGCATCTACCCAGTTACACTAATGAATGTGATGACTTAAAATTACCACAAAATAGCACTTATGAAGTTTAAGGTTTGCTAAAAATAACTTTACAAATTATATGAACATTTATATCTTTTAATACAAAATTTATAGAACAATGAATTATATTCCTTATCAACATAGCATCGAAAATGCGTAATCAAATTTGTAACAACTCTTGTGTAAATTAGAAAACATTCAACTTTTTATCAATTCTTCCGTTATTTTAATTATTAATGAATTACACTAAAAATAAATCTAAATCAATTCTAATAAAAGTATAAATGGTTCACTTTATCCTTGTTACATGGAAAATTCAATTTGCATTTTCAAATATAAATATATTTTTATATTTAAATTAATTTATATTACCTATAACATTGACAACACTTAACCAAATTCAAAATGACTTTATTCTATTATTTCAATCATCTCAAAAAATTTCTTTAATCTCTCTTTTTACATTATATAGTCAAAATGAATTAATGTAATTAAATAAATAATTTCAATTAGATTATTAAAATACCACAAATGTATCGTTTTCATCTTTACAAATCATTTTATATTTTCAGCTACTTACATTTGCAATCAAATCAGGCTTCCTCATCAAAAATGGTAATGTTTTGGGTTCTCGCCCTTCCTAATCAGCATCCCCAAGGAAAATGACAATGTAGGGAAGAGACCTCATAGATATACATAAGAGTCTAATCCTATTACTTGAGTGTAAACGTTTGTGCGAGAAAATTTTAATTCGGAAACCGACGAAATTACAATTCCAAACGAAACACAAAAAACACAAAGTACAGTGAGATACAAGAAAGTCCAAATCGTTTTCCGCGTCGTATCCGTGTTCAAAGCCGTATCGTGGTCGTTATCGTGATCGTAGTTCGTAAGTCGTAAACTGTGAGTCGCTAAAATTCGTAAGTTGCCAAATCGTATCGTCCATGTCTCGTTTCGTGGTTCGCGTTATTCTCAACTATTCTCTCCCAGACGCGTCCTTTTGTATTCGTCCCGGTGGAATGTTCTAGGCCTCCTTCGAATTTGAACTGCGCCTAACGCTGATCGTTCCGCAGGTTGTAACGTTCTTCTCGAGCATACGTCAAACAAAGCGTCGTTGACGTTCACGCCCACACGCACACACGCACACACTCATCCGCACGAGGTTGACACAATTAGGAGAGTTCACGAGCTCCGATCAGCTGTGGTTTACATTTCTTGTTACGTTTCTTCGTTCGCGTAACGGATTCGTGAGCTCTTCTTATCCGTTAGCGTCAGCTTCCTACATTTATTATTCATATTTCCCAGTTATATACTTAATTTAATAATAATTAGGGTGAACTTGTAGATGAGGTACTCCCCCTCCGATTTTGATGATTTTTAAATATGTTCTAAAATTCGTCATGTTAAGCAACTTTTTTCGAATGAAGTTCCGAATATGACCGGCCGCCGATCAAGATGAAATTTTGAGGCGGGAGGGGGAAGAGAGGAGGAGACCCCAAATATAAAGTGGTATCTTCGGCTTCCTATTAGTTTCCGAGATATTAATTAAAAACTTTCGTACAATACATAGAATTTTTCCTATACAAATGTAACTAACACAACCGTCTTCGTTGTAGTAAGCTGACATCGTCAAGTGTCGAACAGCCGTTGACACAGCGGGGGTTCCAACCTGACTATCTATAAGGTGTCCTATTCAAAACTTTGGAGATACGACGAGTCTTCCGGCGGCCGGAAATTTATCTAGCCTAACCTAACCTACGTACAAATCAAATGTGTTTAATTCCTTGAGAATTAGTAATAAAATATAAAACATAACGAAATGTAACTAAAAAAATGGATTTTACATGGAACACCCAATAGAAACGGAAGCCGACACTTGACGATGACGGTTGCTACAGCGAAGACGGTAGTATTAGTTGCGTCTGTATAGGAAAAATTCTATGTGTTGTACGAAAGTTTTTAATTAATATCTCGGAAACTAATAGGAAGCCGAAGATACCACTTTATATTTGGGGTCCCCTCCCCCCTCCCCCCTATTCCCTCAAAATTTCATCTTGATCGGCGACCGGTCCTATTCGGAACTACAGCCCTTTTTTCCTCTAAGCTATATGTCGGACTCGATTAGTTTGCGAGATATTCACGAAAGAATATTGTTACTACTACAGCGAATTGTATCTATACGTATACGCCCGTGGCCATGTGTGCGTCGGCTCTCTTGCCTACCATTTCTGTAAACAACAGCGTGTGGTCCGGCTCCTAATCATATAACGGGTGAGCTAAAAGATCAAATTATAACATTTGACTCGCGTGGCTGGCCGCCCGAAGGCGGCCGGAATATTGATATATTCTAACCTAACCTACACGTATAAGTAATAGAAAAATAAAATATTCTTACTTATATGTCCAGATTAGGTTAGGTTAGACCAGGGGTCGCCAAAGTGGTCAATATCGACCCCCAGGGGTCGATATAATATAATTAGGGGTCGATCCGATGTAGGGAGTCGATTAGGGGTCGATGAATACCAATGCTATTCAATCACAAAATTATTGATAGCAATACAGTATATACGATTTTCGTTTGGAATGCCATTTGTAATTACAATATAGTAAGTAAAGTTTAGCTGACGCGACATCATTTTTACGCGCATTACGCATAAGCTATGTCCCCACCACTTAATGACTCTAGCAACTGCGCACGCCTCTCTGGCCATACGGTAGGCCCATACCCCTTGCCCTATGACGCTTGCCCCTTACTCAAGCAGTAGAGCACTGGTGGGGACATAGCTATATATAGCTCGCATCTCACATTCGATACGTTTGCATATTACTACATTCCTTTTTCTTTTTTAACATTTTTTTATAGAGGGGGTCGATAAGAGAATTAGCACATTTTTAGGGGTCAATGATCAAAAAAGTTTGGCAACCCCTGGGTTAGACTATATTAATATTCCGGCCGCCTTTAGGTAGCCGGCCACACAAGTCCAATGTCAAAATTATTAAAATTAGTTAAATTTAATTTTAAGCTCACCCGTTATATGAACGGTAGTCGGGCCATGTGGTGTTGTTGACAGAAACACTAGAGAAGCGAGGGTCGCTTGCTAGACACATAGACAGCTAAACATATACAGTGTGATTCTCTCGCTACGCAAGACAAAAGTCGTGTCGCACAATCGAACCCTGCTGTTTTTGCAGGTAAAGAGACCCAGGGGCCATATCGCCGGACTCGAGACTGCTCTGTGTGTGTTTATGGCTGAGACGAAGACAAGAAACGGAACAGCAGGTGTCCCATTGTGCGGCACGGTTTTTGTCTTGCATAGCGAGAGAATCACCCTGTACATTCTATTGTGGCGGCACTTTCTTTCGGGTAGCGTAGCAAGAGGATCACCCTGTAGCTCAAGGAAAAAAGTTGTTTAAAATATCCAATTTTACAACATATTTAAACATCATCAAAATCGGAGGGGGCGTACCTCATCTACAAGTTCACCATAATTAGTAATTAAAAATTATGTTATTCTATTTCCTAAATTATTTTTAGTAATATTATCATCAAAATTAAGATTTTGAGAATTCTTGTTTCCCCTATATCGCCATTTTCCCTTGGGAAACTTGATTTGATCGCGAGTGTACATATTCCTTATACGACATGAAAATTTATCTTTTTGATCATTTAACAGGCATTTCAGAGGTAACCGCTATGATAAACACGAAATACGCGAACCCTAAAGAGGACCATCCAGACGTACAATTGATCTTCGGTGGATACCTGGCTGACTGCGCAGAAACGGGTATGGTCGGTGAAATGAAGGGTACAAATCGTACAATTTATATCATTCCAACGTATCTGCACCCGAAGAGTCGTGGTTATCTTCGTCTACGAAATAACGATCCTCTTTCGAAGCCAATGATTTATCCGAAGTATCTGACCCACCCTGATGATGTTGCTGGCCTCGTCGAAGCTATTAAATTTGGTATCAAGTTGTCTGAGACCCAGGCTCTCAGCAGGTATGATATACTTTCTATATAAATGTAATTTACACCGGAGCCTATTCACTTCTTCATATTGAACATTTTTAACACGTTCAATGGTGAAATGAAACGGTCTTATACGTCACGCTATAATAAATTATGATTACTCGGATTGTGATCGTTTCATTTTCTAACTTAAACTTTTTACTTGGTATCTTACGAAATTAATACAATATCAATGCTATTTGTGATTAGAATTTTGTTTAATTCTTTTTTTTTAAATTAATTTATTGTACAGATTTATGATCATGTACATACGTACTAGTTAATTGTATAAAATAATTTAATTGTTTGTACGTTACATGATTTTCTTAATTTTAATTTAAAAATTGTATTTTTCAACTCTTGCAATTAATAATAATCGTCAGATTTTTGGCTATTTTAGAAACTTATTTAAAATAAAATATTGCATTTTGTGTAAAATATATTTGGAAAACAATGGAATGAAGGATTGTCAGTCGTGCAGCTAGGGAAATCAGAGAGGTCAATACAATTGGATATAGAGCGATTCTATGAGAAAAAATAAGTCGAAAGAGAAGAATAAAATTTTTTTATCCGATGCTTTGAGACAATCGACCTCAAAATTTTATCGAGCATAATACATTTAAGTTAAACTTGACTTACCAGTCTTATCTCGTAGCAGCCTATACTACTGTCAATGCTTGTATTTATAAACAGTTCTAATATCATGAAGTGCATTGAAACTTTATTACTTCAATACCAGAACTACCAAACCAGTCAAAATATCTGATTTCAAGTTTCTTATTTTAATTTATAAATTTTATCATAGGTATTTTTGCAAGGCTGGCTATTATCGAGATAAAGAATGGGTGTATACATATATTACATTATATTTCATCCCTTATCTATTTAATTTTCTACATTATTTTCAACTTAAAGATTAGTGTACATCAAACGTCGGTAGTTCTAGTATCAAAAATTGTTAGAAATATTTTCGATCATTTCAATACACAGTCGAATCTTACTTAAACATACACTGCTCGGTAAAACGGCTCCGATTTAGTATATGGGCTGGCCCCCCCAGGGGAGGGAGTTATACAGTCGGGTAGCTTGGAGGATGAGGATCACAAATATGGTGATTCCAAATGTCAGTCTTGAAGGGGCGGAGATATAGGGGTTGAAAGTTGCGATGAACTCGAATTTCACTTGGACGTCCGAGTATACATCCGCAGTTCTGTGTTCGTCCGCAAGTGACCATCGCTTTTCTACTATTTCTGGCCCGGCTATCGACCATATAACAAGTGGGCTTAAAATCAAAGTTAACTAATTTCAATAATTTTGACATTGAACTTGCGTGGCCGGTCGCCGCCAGGCGGCCGGAATATTTATATAGCCTAACCTAACTGAATGTGGACATATAAGTAACGAAAAGAATTATATTCCGTCTACATCAATACGGAACAACCTCCTTGTGGTGCATTCAATTAAAAAAATAAAAAAAATTTTTTTAAATGATTTTAAGCTCACCCGTTATAAGGTCGATACCCTATAAGTTCTGGCCGGGCCAGAAACAGTAGAAAAGCGATGGTCACTTGCGGACGAACACAGAACTGCGGATGTCTACTCGGACGTCCAAATGAAATTCGAGTTCATCGCAACTTTCAACCCCTATATCTCCGCCCCCTTAAGACTTGAACACCTGGAACCACCATATTTCTGATCCTCATCCTCCAAGCTATCCGACTATTCATATACCCCAACCTCCTGGGGGGGCCAGCCCATATACTAAATTGATGCCTACATACTTTCTCTGAACATATCTTTCTCTATACATATACTTTGCTCGATACTGTACATTTTAATTTACTTTTTTTGTGTGCAATTATTCTATTAGAAATCAAAAAGAAATATATTAGAACACTGTAATTAAGTGTATGATCTCTCTTAAATACTTACTTATGGAGTACAGAACATACTGTTTTTAATGGTACTGTAATTTTTGATTTTTAATTTCGGAGGTATTTATAAAACGTATTTATGAAAAGGTTGAGAAGCGCTGATATGTACCAAAATTAACCATTCGATAATGGCCCAAAACGTAATAGATACAACGTAGTGCAACAAATCCTACACCTAACTTACTTGTTAAAAAAAATTTGTTTAATAACATTACCATTTTTTATTTCCATTTTACAGATACGGTTTCCAGCTGGATCGTACACCGGTGAAAAATTGCGAGCACTTGAAATTTGGTTGTGACGCTTACTGGGAATGTGCCGTGAAACACGATACAGCACCAGAAAACCACCAAGCCGGTTCCTGCAAGATGGGTCCACCAGATGACCCATTAGCTGTCGTAGATAATCAATTAAGGGTCAGGGGAGTTAGAGGTGTAAGAGTGGCAGATACCAGTATTATGCCCAGAGTCGTTTCCGGTAACACTAACGCACCTGCTATTATGATTGGCGAGCGAGTTACTGATTTTATTAAAAGGACCTGGATCGGCTAATAAAGATCAGTTTACCAATAAAAGTATTTTCTGAGATCAAAAATCTCCATCCGCTGAAAGAGATTTACATAATCGACCACAATGGAATATTTAATTTAAACTGTTGAATATTTTGAAATTTTAGATCAGCATTTATGAAATAGAAGTGATTCCTTGATACTTTAAATTATAATAATTGGAAATGTTAAATGTAGATTTTTTAATGATTTAAACGTTTTGGATATCATCATCTGTTTTATGCTTCGATGAACGATTGTGTGATGAATTTAATTACAAATTTCTTTCACTATTTTAACATAGAGAGCTAAGGTAGCGCTGTGCGCATTCGATCATCGTAGAAAATATAAAAATTGAAGTGAATAATTCCTATGAAATACATATCGAGGATACAGGATGTCTCACCTAACTTAACCAATTCAATTTTTTTTATAATTAGTGGACAAATTCAAATCTTTTTTATCGTGAATAGTATCAAGAGCTAGGACTTTTAGAAACCCTAAACCAGACATGGGCACTAAATAGTAAAACGAAATTCTTACAAAAATGAGTGAAACCGGTACCAAACATGGACATTTTAACGGGTTGTATTACTTCGTCTCTCTCTACAAGTAGTTCCTTTGTCAGAGTATCGCCTCTTGTTATACCTACTCTTTGATCCCGTTATGTAAGGTGTTTACTCAGATACTTTTTATAATTTGAGAACAAAATATTCCTAATAAAAAGTAATCAGTTTTCAATCAGCTGTAAATTAGATAATTTTAAGCTTCAAACAAAATTTTTTTTTCGATAAAAAGTCAAGACAAATTCACATAAATATCGGTTTCGTATGGATACCGATGTCTCCTCGATTTCCCTTCATCTTTGCGACCGACACCAATATCGAATGTATAAATTTAACTAATTGAAATGATTTTGAATCTCAGTGCGTGTGTCTGGTCGCCGTTAGGCGATACATTAGATTAGTACATTAGATTAGGTTTGGTTAGGTTACATTAAATTCCCGGCTGCCGTCATAGCTACAGTACGTTGAAATTATCAATACAGAAGTTCACAAGGTATATATGTATATGTACATTGATCATCGGTCACCGTGCTATTGCCTGCAGAAACAGTAGAAAAGCGGCGATCGCATACTAACGCGTAAGATGTAACACGGACGCACATGAACAGGCAGAATTGAATGTATTAGATTGGACAGTTTTTCGAAAATATCTGAAAAACTAAGGCCGAGCGGCGATTATATGTACAGGAAAAAGTTGTTCAAAATGTTGATTTCTATAACATATTTAAAAATCATCGAAATCGAGGGGAGAGGGAGTAGCTTTTCTACAAGTTCACCAGAATGTTTAAATTCCTTTTTGGTGGTTCCCCTCCCACTTATGAATTTGTCCAGCACTGGATAATACGATGTCGAAGGACCTTCTGGGTTAAGTGGATTTTTATACATAATCCTATAATTTTGTTTGGATTCGTCACAATACCAGCTAAAAAATAGACACAAAATTGATAGGGTTATAGATAAAAATGCTAAAGTTAACGTTAAGAACTTACATTGAAATAATTAAATATTATAATCGTGAATTGTCTTTCAACATCATATTATTATCTGTGACAACAAGTGTTCGATTTATCCATTAGTTAAAATCAATTGAGTTGGTTAAATTAGGCGGGACACCCTGTATAAGGATTCTTGAAATTTTTTTGAACAAATGGAAAATTGTTTAATTCAAAGTTGGAAAATCAATTATTCTACGTTGTAAAGCTACCTCGGTTTTGAGCCCATTTTATTTAGACAGATAAATTAGGAACTATTGTATATAATTCAACAATAATATCAAATATAAATATTGTAATAGATATGATTACTTTGTTAAGGAAGAACATAGAGATGTCTGATACTTTCTCTGTATTATTGAAAATTGATTTGCTTAAAATGAAAAAAAGAACTAATAAAATGTAGGTTAATATTAAAAAACAAAAAGATATTTTAATTTCTAAAATTACAACATAAAAAATTATTATGTTATTTTGATCCTAATAAAATTTAATTAATGATTTGTAACTATCTGGATGTAATGTAAAGAAAACGGACACAAAAATAAATAGAATATTTCACGATGAAATATACCCAGTTATAAATAATAAAACAGATAATCCTTTATTTCGTTCTTACATTCTGATATAAAACGATAAATTATAATACCTAGGACTAGATTAACCATTCATTGTTATAATGTGGAGCCATTTTTTAATATTGGAAATGTAGAGGATCAACCAATAGCGATCAGCGGCTCGGATCTGGAAGGAAGGGAGGCAGCACTGCTTAGCTGACCCAACATTTCTAGGGTTGCCCACACAGACTTTTTGTGCAGAGTTTAGTAGCTTCGACAATGTTCCTAATACGCAGTAATTGCATTGTATTATCATTACACATTCTAATAAATCTTTTATCACTTCAAAGTATTTCCCATCTGTAGGCCACGACCTTTCTAACCGGAATCATAACTTACAAATTATTTGATATATTAAAGCACAATATATTTCTAAAAATTCATAAATTGAAATTAATTTCTTCCAACAATCTTTTGTAAGAAATATTAAAATCAAAATCTATTAATTAAAATTTTTCAAATTTTTAATACATGTTCAGCTTATTATTATCGTGATGGTTTTAATAAATCAGTTCAGATGAACTTTTGAAAAAATCTATTGATCATAAATAAAACACTTAGAACCAAAGGAGTGCAAATGACATTTTAAAAAATTGTTGAATCAGTAATATTGTAAGAAAGAAAAAAAGAAAAATGTTATTTACATTTCGATGGTTTTAAGTGTCTCAAGTAGCAGAATTTCAAGGATTAATTGAAATCGGAGGTGAAATCAACCATAGCGGTTGCATTTATACATTCTCCTGATTTTCTGAATGTCTCCCTTGCTAAAACCTTCACGTTGACCCAGTTTGATCCTAACGTTATCCTGAAAATATTTATCAACTTCGCTGAAATAATCATTTGACGTCTGAAACATTGAAAAATACGATCGATATGAAATTATTTTTAATATTCTGATATCTTTGCACCTCTCACAATTTTCAATCAACATAACAATGAAAATACTTCGTTTCTTAACATTCAGAAAAACTAAACTTGCCAAAATAATAAATTTTAAATGGTATTATTAAAGTGATTTTGTCGAAATATACGTTGACTTTTGAAGAAATAATTTTAATTTTTATGTTCTATGCAGTACACTCGATATCAATCAATCTTCGATATAAAGAGCGTAAGAATTCTTAAAATCTTAATTTTGACGATATTAATATTAAAAATAATTTAGACAATAACAAAAATAATATAATTTCTAATTATTAAATACTATAACATTTGGTATATTCCTGAGAATTATGAATAATAACATAAATATCAATTCAAATTCTTCCGTGTTAATGTTCGTATACATGGAAATGTAATGGGAGGTCACAGATCTGTATAGCAGATGGAACGCTCCACTGCATCGTCATACTCTTTGGGAATACCTAAGGAGAAGGGCGAGAATCGAAGGCATCACCATTTTAACTAGGGAAGCGTGACTTGATCGCGAGTATACATATATCGAAATATACCAAAAATCGTCAAAATAACAGATTTATATTTGTTGGCACGAGCACAGCTGTGGCACGAGATCCCTATAGGCCATGTATTATTATGAAGTTGGCCACCCTTTTTCTTTTTTTTTGGTTGGTTGGTTGGTTACTCTGTCATGGCGATAAAGAGCGGTGTGGCACACATGTCCATGTTACTTTCTTTCAATAATCATTTCATTTATAATGTTAGTTTATAAGTTAATTTCACATATTATTGGACAACATTAATAAAATAATAGTTTAGTGCAACTCTGTCAATATTTATAAATAATATGCACTACCATTCGTAAGTTTAAACGCACAATGCAAAAATTTAATCATATACTAAAAACATGAAGGATATGATACAACTAAATAACATTAATATCAAGGGTGATCAAGGCCGCATCTAGTACTTTTTGGGGCCTAGGCATACAAACAAAAATCTGGGCCCTTCTTATGTATATTTTTCAATTAAATTTCAAAGTTAAAGCCAGCAGATTTATTTATTTCATGCAGTAATGACAAATACCTCTATGGGGACCCTTCTTTTCACCGGGCCCTAGGCACGTGCCTATTTGATCTAGGGGTAAATACGATCCTGATTAGCACAATAATATGTGCATAAATGTGTTATTTTTCTCTAATTTTAAGTAATACATATTATTATTTACAGTATAATTTAGTATTACATTGTAATAGATGTTACGAAATTTTTGAACGGTAGTGTATGTTTGTGACTTATTATTTTGTAGTAAGTGCACTTTTTGCAACAGATAATTTGCAAGAAATTTTATAAAGTATGGTAAATTAAAATACTTACTCTGGGTATTATAGTCGGTTTTCCATTTTTTGAAAATGCGTACGACGAATAATGCATCACGCTATTATAATCATAAGCAATGCCAAAGTCATCTGTAGTTTGTTTCGAAGCTTTCAGGAAATTGCTGTCATGGCCTAAAAAAGATATCAATTATTTCTTTTATGTTGTAACGTTAAGTGGAAGCAGGAAATATACCTTGAACAGTGGAGTCCAGATCACTAGAGGCCCGAACTTACAAGATATATACAAGGACATTAACCTAAAGTTAAATGTATCATTTTTAAACGAAAGAGTTTCATATGTCGGAAAAATAATTTTTGAAGGTACAGTGTGAAATTTAGAAAATGAAAATAAATAGAAAATACATGATTAAATTAGAATTAAGGCTCTCTCCAGGGCACTGAGCAATTAACTGAGTTAAAAAATGAACATTTAAAAAAATCATTGTAGAAACTAATCCTTATTTTATCTGAAAATTTATTGAGTCCAAAAATTATAAAGAAGAGGACTGATCTGGTAAACTAACACTTTTTTGGGGCATCAATGGGAATTTTTAAAGATTAAAAAGCAATCATCAAATTGGATTAACCTTTTTCAGACAAGTTTTACAAGTCTATAAAATTTCTAAAAATTCAAAAATTTGTGTATAATAATATAAAGTATGATCATTTTGTGTAGAATAGCCTTAAGTTTGCTTATAGCAAACAAGTTGTCTATTACAAGGCCTATTAAAATCTTTGGTTTAACATCATGTGCCTTTTCTAATCATTGTATTTCAACTTGAAACTGATTTTATAAATAATAAAGTCACGCGAGTTCACTTAAATTCGCACAGTACTGTAATTTCGAAGAAGGGCCAAAAATTCAAATCTGATGGAAGTATTCTATTACTCAAGCTAAATCTCAGCGAAACTCACCATTTAGAATATTGTTCCATTGGATAGAGACGAACTGATCTCTCTCGAATCTGCTCTGTTCGTGCAAAAAGCCTATAGCGTGCATCAGTTCGTGGATCACAGTGCCTTTTCTTGTTACACAGCCAGGAACTTGAAGATTCACGTTTTGCCAGCTACCAATTCTTCCCACACTGCTCCAACAACCGCTGTTACCAGCTGTGATCCTGATGTAATCGGTCTCCACGCCGTGGTATGGCTTGAACCTAATGCACGTGTACTTATGGTAATCGTTCATTGCCTCGTAGATCACTTTCCGTTGATCAGCGTCTACAGAAACAATTCGTGACTTGTTTGATCATTTTCTATTATGTGAACTTTCTGTAGGAATAATGATGGCTAATTGCATTGGCGTAGCTAAGATTAAGATCTAGGTGGATCATGTTCCTTTGCTTTGACAGAAGTGTTACTATTGCATTTTGGGTCAAATATTTATTTCTAACGATCTGACGAATTATTAAATTTACAGATTTTTGAACATTTGAATTTATAAATTGTGAAACTTTTGAATTTTGTAATTCTTAAACTTTGAAGTTTTGGAATTGTACAAATTTTGTATTTTGGGATTTTACAACTTTTGAATTTTTAAATTTTAGAACTCCTAAACTTTGTACTTCTGAAACTTGAATTTTGGAATTCTAGGATTTTAGCACTTGGAAGTTTTGAAATTCGTAAACTTTACAATTTTGGGATTTTTTAAGTTTTAAATGTTTGCATTTAGAACATTTCTAACTATTGAATTTCAAAATTTTTGAACTACAGAGTTTTGGAATTTTACAATTTTGGAACCTTTAAATTTTTGAACTTTTAAGGTTTTGAATTTTGAGTTCTATAACTTTTGTATTTAAAAATTTCGGAGTTTTTAAACCTTTTAAATATCAGAATTTAAAAGCCATAGAATCTTAGAATTCCGGAATTTTAAAGTCTTAGAATTCAGAATAGAGATTCAGAAAGGTTGTAAAACCTTCTGTTCAGTCATGGTATTAAATAATAATATACTGCCTTCTCTGTTAAAATCATACAACGTTAAATAAATTTTAATGCCATGTACTGAAAGATTTTTTGACCGACTGTATTTGATATTTGAGAACAAACATTTGCATGTTGACAGTAAAATATTCACGGTTCTGTGACTTTTTTTAATTAAACAATTTCAAAACAACCAACATACGTCTAGAAACGTGGAATCTAATTAAAACGTCACAAATTGATTCTTCCCTGCAACACTCGTTCATTCCAACATAAAGGAAGAGAGATAATTGCATCACAGGCATATAATTAACTCTCGTTTCCCGGTGCTTGTAAAACGTTTCCAAATGAAAATGATACTTTGTTTATCATACTTCAAAGCTACGAACATGAACTCTATGATTCTCAAAAGATGTTTTCTTTTCCATTTTAATTAATTTCATAAAATTGGAGCAAATTTAATAAATGAATCTAAAAACAAAAATTAAATTGTTTAAATTTAACAATAATACTTAATTGCATTGGCGCTGCAATTGTATGTTGCTGCACGCATACGGATCATTCCACACCAAGTCCGTTATTCATCAATCTCAAGGATTTTGTTCGTAATTAAATATGATGCAATGTACGTGAAATAAAAAAGGGCTTAAGTCATCATTCTGTTGAGTTTTAACTTGTTGATAAAATAGAAATCACTGAATTTTACAATTTTTACCATTTTTATGAAAATAACCTATATTTGCGAATTTTTATGTCAAAAATTATATGAGGGATGCAATTCATCTTTTCATTTTAGTTTAATTTAGATATTTTGACCTATTATACTGATACTTTTTAATTGAAAAATTGATTTTGCAATTCTTGGAATTATAAACAATTTCTCAAGGACTTTCTTATAGGTAAAAGTTCAAGGAATATATAGTACATGGCTAGATTCATTCTAGTTTTAAACGAAAAATTTGTTTTAAGTTTTAACATTTTAAAATCAATTCCTCGAACTAAAAAAGATGATATATTACAATAGATCAATCTTTCTAAGTTAAAATCAAATGAAGATTAACTCAAGTGAATAAATAGTTGGTTATATTGATATTTATGAGCGTAGCCTGTGTTTATCAAAATAAAGAAAAATTGCAATCTCCTAAGATCTATATTTAGTGGGAGATCGATGTTAAAAGGATTGGTGTAACTTCGACTTTCCTCTAGCGTAGGCCAGATACCTCAGAAAATTTTTAATTTTAGTGTCCTAAAAATCTTTAATTTTTTAATTTTTATGATTTTAGAATTTGGAATTCTGGAATTTAGAAAAGTTGAAATTTTGGAATTTGCGTATTATGAAATTTTGAAGATATGTAATTTTAAAATTCTGAAATTTTGGAATTTTGAAATGTGGGAAATCTAAAATAATGAAATTTAAAAATTTTGGAATTTTGGAATCTTAAAATTTTAGAATGGCGAAGGTCCACATTTTTGGAACGAGACCAGTCCAAATTTTGTGAGGACAGCCCCACCCTGACCCTCACTTAAGTAGATACTCCAATGCGAACAATTTGGCGTAAAAAAACCTATATGATAAGATTATTCACTGAAAACAATGTATAAAGTATAATACATGTTACCCTGAATTCTTCAAATAGCATTGAAATAACCTTAAACAATTCAATCGAAACAACCTTGGCCTCCTAAGAGTTTATTAAGACAACCTTGTACGAGTAAAAACTGATAAGAAACTGATAAAGGTGAGTCTTGACTGAAATATTAATAAGAGTGTGTGAGAAGAGGATGGATATATGTTAAAAATTCTGTAATAAGATTTTATTTATGTACCATTTCATTTAAAAAAATAGCGATGGGGTCTTTCTGGTTCTTTTAAAATATAGCAGTAATGAAAGAAAAGTTTTGGTACAAAAATGTTTAACCCTTTGAAACGAGTATTTCTTTTATCATATTTTAGTGACTAAAAAGTGTCTCTTGCTGGGTAATCTTACAATTTCTATATATGCATATACACTAAATTAACTAAGATAAAAAATACTTTTAAAACATCGTTTTTCAAATTATAGAATACAATAGATTTCTTTTGGAGGTACTCAACAGAAAACTGATAAACTTTCTCTTTTTAAATATAGGAATAATAAAATAACCCAGACGGGATGATAAAGAACCTAAACTATTTAGAGTCTAGAGAATTAAAATTTGACCATTCAACAAATTTTACTTATTTTTACTCTTTTATACTATAACATGTCCACACGCCCGGTACAATCGATGGTGCAACACGTTCATTTGCACGGGGTGACAAGTTTTTTGTGCCTGTATAATTGATATAAGCTATACAAAATTCAAATGTAATAAATTATTTTAAAAAGTATGAAATAAATCTAAATTTGTTTTTAATTGTTTCTTCGAAGTATTTTCCTCCAATATATTATTTTTGTGGATAATATTATCAATCTAAATACATTTTTTGAAAATTTTTAGTGCATTACTGGATCACAATTATTTTCTTTCTTCCTTTTAATCATCTCTCTCTTTCCCTGTTTCTACAAAATATGTAGTTTATGATTACTTTTCATTAACTTTTTATTAACAAATACGACTATTTAAAATTTATTAAAATGTCATTGTAAGAATTTTCTTTCGGAGCTGGGGGGGGGGGGGGGGGGGGGGCAAAATACAGTAAAAGTCGTCACTCAAGGGACCGAGAAATTTTGACGATTTAAGCAGAGTAAAAACCATGTAAATTTTTAAATGACGATTTATCCGGAGTGACGACTTATGGAGGTTTTACTGTATATTATTGCACAGGGTGACAAAATTCCTTAGACTGGACCTGTATGTACATTATATTGCAAGAAGTTAGCTAAACTGTTTTGAAGTCAAATTATTCAACTCCACTTTTAGTACATTTCTCAATTGTAATTGATTAATATTCACTTATTAAAGTTAGTGTTCAGTTGTTCTAGTTGTTGGAATGGTAGTATCAAAGATGGAATCTGACAATGAAGATGATGTAATAATCAATTTTGTCTAGAAATTATATAATACATAATACTATTTTATTTATTCATATTTTTAGTTTTTAAATCAATGAACGTCTCTAGTTGAAAGAAAATATGGAAAGGTGTGTGTAATCATATTTTATAATATAATACGTGTATCTTAAATAACTCAGTGCATAACCTTTATTTATTCTTAGCTTTAAATCCCAAGATAAATTTCAGAATGCATATAATGTTTGTGACGTCCTCGCTTTTCTCTCCATTTTATTTTGTGAAACTAATAAATTAATAAATTTGTCTTTTGAAATTAACCCATTTTCCTATGATTTTTTTAAAAGTTGCATACGTCAGAGTTATCTAGTTATTGCTTGTATTTTCAAACAAATAAAGAAAATTTCAATATCATGCATGCATGGCATTCAACGATCTTTGACTGGGCAAATTAGAATTAGAATTAAACTTAAAATTCGAGTGTATTAAAAATACCAGCTTTCACATATTTGAAGTGTAAGTTGCGTCACGACGGTGACTCGATATCATAGGACACGGAGTTTAAAAGTACTAAACTTTGAATCGAGAAACCTTTTCAAATTAATACAATTTTTGAAATTAATATGGCGATTTATCTTAAATAACGCAAACAACTCACCAAAATATGGACTAATAATATAAGGAACAACACCATTGGGCCATGTGGCGGAGCTCGCTCTTAAGCCATTCCTTCCGGTTCCCATCGGAAACAAAATGTCACCCTCTACATAGGAGCCCAACTCTTCCGGGTTGCTAGTCATATTCTCGTGCCATTCTGCCACTCTTCTTCCAGTCTTGCCATCAGGTAGACCGTACAAAAAATCTTCAAGGTGTCCGAAATGACCGTTCGAGTTATTAATGTCATGGATCTCGCTATTTATAGCTTCTGGTCGTCGAAACAGACGCGTGGACGTCAAACTTATGAAAGGAAATATCAATAATACTCTGACTGACGTTCTATACATGTCCTCAAGAATAGTTTCGAAGCGAGTTAAATTTAATACCGTGTACTACGTGACGAATAATAAATCGTAATTTTATTCTTAGAACGAATGTTATAAGACTGGCAAAAAAATCATCGAGGTTCTTGTCTATATAAGTTGCGAAAATGGGTGTGACAGATGTGTCCATTGAATTGACGCTTCCGTGCGGAAGCAATCAGGGACACTCTATGATAAGAGTCTTTCGATTTAAGGTAACAAAAAGATGATATTTATCGAGAACTATTGATGGTTGGAGGTGTGGTTGACAAGGTGACATCCTATTACCTTAGAGTGCATGTATCCTTGACATCTTGATGATTAATAAAATTGTATTATTTCAAAATATTATAAAATTTATATTTTGAGTACTTGCATGAAAATATCTATTTTATATTTATGTATTTATCTTGAAATTATTAAACTTTATTAACCTTCAAAGAATATATTCATCTAGGTATTACAATATATGTTTAATATATTTTAAAATATCAGATTATATATTAAGTGTACAAATTAATTCTGTATCTTTTCTTTTTTTGTTCATTGAAGATTTATTTTGATGAAGTCGCAGTAACTTTGATTATTGAAGAAATTGTTATTGTTATTATATTCTTGAGCCACTTTTCAAATACACAGAAGCGCGGGAAATTTTCAAATCTAAAATAGTAATTAAAAAAGCATAATACTAAAGGTACCGAATCAATTTGTATACCTAATAAGAATTTTAAGCATTCGGATAAATTTATACAAAAGATTTGTATTAGAAATGTTGCGTATCAAAAAAGACTCTATTTTCATAAGTTATAGAACAGACATTAATTATCAATATCTATCATAATCTGTCAATATTACACATGATTATATGTATAAATAATTTTGAACTATTTGAATGACATTGTAGCCCAACATGAAAAAAACAGGCGGACAGACAGATAATAATCACCCTTCTTTTTGTTAGAATCTGGATTTAGTGTAGTCTTCATTTTTGGGAGCTGATAATATTTCAAAACTTTCAACACCTTCAAACCTGTATTTCGTTCATAGTATGCAATTTTTATAATTTTCCAAAAATTTTAGAAGTTCTCCGCTTCAAATAAATATCAGACAGATTTTAAACTCTACAATGATTGAATTGTTTCAAAATTTACAAGTGAGAATTTACAAGAATTTACATGAAGCAGCATAAAAAATGAACAAAAAGCAACGTCTGTAGTTGCTTCATTGTTAATGACACTTTGATGAAACTATGACAGTGTTTCTCATGACTAATAGTGATGCGGCTAAATCGACCGTGAGGCGTTCTCCTGTAAAATTGTGTAACGCGTTTATTGCTTATTACATTTGCATGGTCACACTTTCGCAAACGTGTCACGCTTCAAAAAAAAAGAAAAAAAAACTAAATAAATGAGCTGTTACAATCGAAAGTCATAGACAACACTTTTCAAACTCATGAATGTTTGCCTGGATTACTTTTTTTAGAATTCATGAGTCTTAGATCTATGTCAGCTCTCACTTGGCGCTTCAAATATCGCGCCGCGCAGTAAAATCTCTCTACTTCTTCGTTTGTTTCCCTGCTGACAGTGTTCGTCGGTTTTGTCCTACACCTATGTATTTCTTATTCGACGCCTATGTTTTGTTTCTTCGAGTCAGTCACGCGACACACGTCGCGGCATCTTTGATGAGAGGTAGAGTTTGGTAGTTCATAATAAAGCACTGTAACTTTTTTAATATTAACTCTTTTTACCTACGGATTCTTTAAACATTTTGGCTAAACTCTTCTGATCAAAATGAAACCAAACACGACATAACTTGGAGCATATTTACTTTATTTTATGTACAACGGAACATCCAGTGCGAATTTTTTTTTTCGTCCATATAGTCCAAATTTTGTCATATTTGGTCTCATTTTAATCAGAAAAATTGTACCAATATGCAATACAATTTGCATCCAGAAAATTCTGAAAATAAGAAAGTTAAACTGTTGTTAATTTATTGTCTGCTACTGCTCTCGTGCTATTCTTCTCTTTTACGACTTGTCGCCGGGGATTAAAAGCAGCCGCGAAGCTCGAAAAATCGTGTCTATCCTGCCTACATGTCCATTTTCGTTTCTCAGCTTACGGATAACTAGAGAGATTTTATTGTACACTGACGATGAGTTGCATTGAACTTGTCGCAGTGAAGTTGGCTACAAATTCACTAACACATTCACACCGCGTCGGTGAGTCGATCTCGCCCATCGTCTCACCGACGCAGCGTGAATGTGTTAGTGAATTTGTAGCCAACTTCACTGCGACAAGTTCAATGCAACTCAGGGTACACTCGATAGCGCCGGCTGGACACATCGCGTTAGTTCACGCAAGGTTTTGTAGCGTTCCGTACAATTGTCAGTGCTAGTTGCATACTCGAAGTATAAAGTTGGTTGTATTTTTCAAGCAAGTTGCAAATTCTACAGGTGCTACCCATTTGACATGGCTACAAAGAGGAAGCAAATAAAAATGGAGGACAGGAACCGTGAATTTCAAGTTGAATGGACCGAGACTTTTGCGTTTATTAAAAACTTAAATGGCCTTCCGACTTGTCTTATTTGTAAAGAAAAATTGGCGCATAATAAGAAGTCAAATTTGGAGAGACACTTTATAACTAAACACGAGTCATTTATCACTAAATATCCTGTCGGTGATGCAAGGAACAAAGCAATTGAGGAACTTCTAAAAAGTCAAGAAAAATCAAGTTCTGTATTTAAGCAATTGAGAAACTTCTAAAAAGTCAAGAAAAATCAAGTTCTGTATTTAAGCAATTGAGAAACTTCTAAAAAGTCAAGAAAAATCAAGTTCTGTATTTAATGTAGACGTTACATTTCATCTAAATCAGCTTAATCGTAAACTACAGGGGAAAGGAAATACAATTTTTTCGATGTTAGAAGAAGTTATTTCATTCGAAAACAAATTATCCCTTTATGCTCAAGATTTTGAAAGAGAAACTTTGATTCATTTTCCAAGCCTGCGGAAACATCACCAAGAAAATAATTCTGATATTGATATTTGCTATTTCAAAACAACAATCTTAAATATGAGGGAGGCTTTTTTGAATAGGTTTCAGGAATTCAGAAACAGCAAAGCGACGTTAGCCTTTGTTAAAAATCCTCTTAGTGCTATTGTAACAGAATTAAACTTTTCTCCCTTTGATGTTGACATTGGCAACTTTGAAATGCAATAGCTGGATTTAAAAAACAAAGAATTATGGAGCTCTAAATTTGAACGTCTTTGTGCTGATTTGGAAGTATTAGAGAAAAACAAATGTGAACTTAGTTGACAGCAGAAGTGGTCTGCTTTGAGAGACCTGGAGAAGGAAGATATGATAATTTTTAACACCTGGAACAGTATTCCTGACTCATTTGATCAGTTGAAAAAACTAGCGTTTGGTGTTCTTTCTCTTTTCGGTTCTACATATTCATGCGAACAATCTTTCTCGAACATGAACCTCATCAAGAGTAAATTAAGAAGTCGTCTTACTGATGAGAACCTGGAATCGTGCCTAAAATTAAAAACAACAACATACAAACCTAACTTACCCAAACTTTCGAAGGAGATGCAAGGCCATTGTTCACATTAAGTGTTGTCACTGTCAGTCATTGTCATAATTTAATTTTATGGATACCTTACTTACAATTTAATTTCTATGAATAAATAAGATCATTATTAAGCATGATATCAAGTTTTATTCAGTGTACTTATAATTTAAGATTCAAAACTTCAACTAAAGTTTATTAAGTTAATAAACAGAGTACCTACCTATATAGCTTAAGTTTAAGAAATTAGACCCTGAATAGAAATCTCAATCGTTGTATTTTTGACATTTGGCTCTGTTAACTAATGAGTTTGTCGACCACTGGCCTAGAAATATACTAATTACCTAAAGTAGGGATCGGCAGACCGCCGATTGCGAGCTGCATGTGGCCCTTAGCATATGGCTCTTCATTTTGGGTTATGACTGCCACCGGTGGGGGGGTATACATATATATACATCCATATGTATATATATGGCTCTTTGATAACTTCGTTATCCTGTTTTCCTTGACAATTTGGCTCTTCTCTCTCAAAAGTTTGCCGACCCCTGGTATAGAGTATAGTAGATATCCCGAGGAACAGGGTTTTAATGAGTATGGTATTGCTACGATTTTTTGGTGAGCATACGAGTCCCACACGGCCAGGCAGTCCTTGGGGGGGGGGGGGGGGGGGGGGGAGGTTTGCACAATACATAACAGTACATTTGTATTTCCTTTCTGATGACTGAAAAGAAAGGCATTCCTAACCGCCACCCGTAGGCTTTCTCAGTTTCCTAGCTCTATTCATAGATTACCCCTTTCTCAGGCTTCCATCTTTCCCCGTAAGCCATAGGCACTCGCGAAGAGAGTAACAATGTAGGGAAAAGGCCCCGCATATATGTATAAGTCTGTAGCTGCCCACCACTTACGTATAAACGTTTATGCAGGAAAATTTGAATTCATATTTATGTTATTCATATTTCTTAATTATATAATAAATTCTATGAAAGTTAATAATTAAAAAACAGGATAAGTTTCCGAATGACCCCACCAAAAGTGAGAATTCAGCTTCGGTATATGACCTAAATTGACTACCAGAAACCGATTGTTCCGTTCCGAGGAACACGCGGTACGATGATTTCGAAAGTTAATTTATGACGGTTTTGCGACGGTACAGCTATTTTTGAGTAAACTTTGTAATATTGCCGGAAATAGTAGTTTCCTTTTTTTTAACAATGGAGTTAGAGTTTTATTTTCGTTTCGGTCTCAATGGCTAAAACACGTCATAAATTGAGTCTTTCCGAAGGGTAATTCGACAGCGGTCCTCTAACGGTACGGGGCCTTCGAAGGCCAACCTGGATGGAAAAACCCCGGCGTTGTCGAACTTTCGGGGCCCTCCGGTACTTCAGGTATCACTCTACCCTCTCCTGGACAAAATCGCGCTATAGGCGTAAGGAAGGGTGGACTCGGTACTCAGGGGACATGATAATTGTAGAGTCAGC